GTTGTTACCAACATCTGGTGAAAATTTCATGTCATTAGCACCTCTAGTAATATATTTACTGAGAAAAATGGTGACGTGTTCAATACTTATTTTACCCACTGTAACTAATTAACTTTTGGGTGTCAAAATACAAATATTGAGCTAACATTTGGTAATAGCAGAGAGTCACTAACAACACATACTGTACGCGCTAAGAGATCACACATGATCTTGCAATATCACATATTAAACATCACAGCATTTTTAAGATTTGATTAACTTTGGCATTAAAAGCCACAGATAATATGCATTCCTTCAAGGAATATCTTTATTGTATTGAAAACTAGGGGTTGTTTTAAACTGCAGCCTGATTTTGTCTGTAATAAAAGTTTCAGTCTCTTTGTTAAAATAATTATTAGAGCTCTTTCACCATTAAAAACCTATTTTAGTGAGGTAAGAAAAATATTACAATAAGTCAGTTTGTATTGAGTCAGTGATGAAATAACGTGGATTATGGACTAGTGGAAGAGTTATTGTTTAGTTGTGTTCTTGGCAGTTAGATGAGTGGATCAATATTAGCAGCAAACTCTGGAAAAACCTTCCTTATGGCTCATACACAGAGAAATGTTAATATGAACACCTTATATTCCTACAGTAGCGTGCAGAGACATTTTCGGGGGCAGGTGCTCAAATGTAAAAAAGAGGGCACCTTGTCCGGTGCACAAAATCAGCAGCTGTCCTGATAATGTGACATTACAGACACATCTTGTACATTGTGCATATTTATCTATTTTAAATCAGATTTTTTTCTGTCTGATGCAGATGTTTAATATTCAACTCTACAGGTTGGTTTCTGTAACAAACTGGCAACAACAGAACAAAAACTAGTAATGACAAATTTTATATTGTTTATAAAATAACTATAATCAAGGTTATTTTCACAAAATTACTAATGTCTTTTTTGTTCTATGGAGGGTCTTCCTTCAGTCTCTCCATCATAGAGCTGTTTCCATGATCTGAATTAAACATTTCAGACGGAGGAAGGCAGGAAAACATTGAGCTACTTCTCTGCTGTAGCTAAAACACCAACAGTATGAAATATGTTTATTTGGGTGAAACGGCTTGGTGACAAAGGTCAGTGCAATAAATTACAACATTTAAACTAATCAAGAGCCAATTTCTGTTAATATTTATTGAAACAAAATCAAATCATTCTTATGATCCTAATTTTATTTTCCAAATTATGGTTTATGTTTCATTTAGAGCACACAAAACCTGAGAAAGAAAAGATTAAATTTAAAAGAACTCATTGTTAGCATTCATTATTCAATGTTTGACTTTAAAATGAAAAGAAAATACAGAAAAATAAAACTAAAGCTAATTCTCTTTCCACACTAAAATCAAAGAATACTGAAAATTTCAAACTTAATTTTCTTATTTGCCTCATTAGTCTTTACAGACAACAGGAAGTGAAGTTTAACTTCAGCATCTGAGGTTTAGGGGGTAAAAAGTGTGACCAGATCCTGTGGGCCATCACATTGTGTATTCACACATTCTGCATAAATAAAATCCATTTTCTTTCACGTGTTTAGATATTTGTTTTTAACACGCAGAACACACTGCTGCGCGTTTGATTGGCAGCCGCTGCGTCTTTGCCTTTTTCTCTTCTCTCCTCCTCCTTCTGCACAGAAGGCAGAGAGAGAAATAAGGAGGTATTTTCTAATGGTTGTAAATTGCAGCCAGTCGATTGTTTCCCTTTCTTTTTTTCTTCTTCTTTTTATGTCTTGTTATAATTTGATCAGTCAAATGCAGGACTTTGTTTCAACTTGCGCGACGCCGGGACAAGAGTGAAACATGTGAGACAGTCCTGCACAGTTTGCCTGGGGCTGCAGGTAAATTACCTGCTGGTTATAACTGTCCTCTGTTGTGTGGATGAGAGAAGAGAGAGGCTCCTGTCCGAGCGCGCTGCGCTCACCGAGGGACAGCGCACAAGAGCTGCGGGCGTGCACGTCACGTGTGGGTGGTGAATGGAGGGTGTGAGGGCAATATTATTATTAATAATATTAATACTGTTGCCATTATAGTTGTGCGCTTAATAAGAAGTGCAACCAAGGGCGACAGATGGAGCATAACAAAAAAGAAAAAAAAGCGGGTTCGACAGGGGCACGTGATGGTCTGGAGGGAAAAGGGCAGGTGCTCGAGCACCACCTGACTATCTGTGCACGTCCCTGTATTCCTATATATATTTCACTCACGCTTCAATTAAGCTAGAAATGTCTGACATTCCTCCGACTCCTGCTGCAGGACCCCCGACTGCGTTAGACATCATTCCCGACATCCTGAGCACACAAACACAGAGAATCCACATAAAAGTCAAAAAAGTCAAAACATGGTGTAAAATGTAAAATATAACAATAATAATTTTCAAACCCTGAAAACTTGTATTTCACAGTAGAACATAGTAAACAAACAATGTCTAAACTAAGAAATGTAACTTTTTTACTAAAATAAGGCAGGTAAAATTTGATTGGCCCCCTGAAGAGCCCCTGTCCTGTCACTCATCTGTTTGCCCAATAGCGATGATGGTGGATGCAGTTCCATGTTCAAACACTACAGGTGCTAATGAGTCAAATAGGAAAGTCCACTGAATTAAAGGGATCTCCGATTAGTTGTAAAATTAAACTTTATTTGATAAACATATATTTTAACTGTAAAATAAAGACTGTAAAAATACTGTAGGATGTTAAGTTTTGTTGATTCTTAAACTTAAAGTTTAGAAATATATTTTAACACGGACGGGGCCATTTTATTTACACGCAAAGCATTCTGGGTAAATGATGACGTGGATAGGTCCTCGGTGCGAGGCTGCTAGCGAGCTATATCCACCCTGAAGGTTTATCTTGAACAATATCTGACGATTGGTTCTTTAAAATGAAACCAGAGAGCGCTGACAGAGAGGAGAAGGTAAAAATGACTCAGCCTGTAAC